GAAACACGAACTCCAACGACAAGCAGCGCCAAAGCAGAAAGCGCTACGACAAGCACCTGAGCAGCCGCCACAGCAGCAAGGGCGACAGCAGCCAGGACCGCCGCTGAGGAGACACACGACCAAGAGTCCACTAAGCATAGCACCACAACAGTTTCCAGCAACAGCCGTGCCAAAGCCACACGACATAGCTACAACAGGAGACTACTGGATCAAGGAAGGCCATCTGTGGAAGAGAGCCCGCATGTGGAAGAGAGCCCGCAGCATCCCAAAAACAAACCCTTACGTGCCACAACAGACCGGACGTTTCACCTTCAAGACAAATAATCGTAAAACCAACATCAGGAGCAAGAGGCTACAGGATTGATGATGACCGGACAACAAAGACTTTCGCCAAACTTAACCAAGGGCACACGGTCACCAACACTGGGGGCAAAGTCTTTATCATCAGCTGGAATGCCAATATGATCCAGCAGCGTCATCATTTGGGACATGAGAGCATTCGTCTTTTCAATAGAGGATTCCATAAGATGACCCAGCTACAGATTGATTGAAGCCGGCCGCAATGTCCATTTCACCGAGGACGAGAGGTCTTCAACACAGCTGTTTGAGATTGTGGGAGAAGATGGTGGCAGTGTCTTTCACAAGACCGCAACAACCTTGAGCTGGAGCAATGGGTTTGTCTGGTCTTTCAACATTGCCATTCCAGTAACATCCCTGGTTCAAGACACTTTTTGCCGCGCTGCAATACACTGGGATGCAATACCTTGCAACGCAAGCTGTGGAAAGGATCACCAACTTGCTGATGAACTATCATCCATTGCAGCAAGGCGGTAAGCTTCCTTATTTCGGGAGCAAGACCTTTGACTGCCTTCGCGGCAATTCATCATTGATGGAATGAGTCAACACCAACATGGACATGGCTCAACCCATCAGTGATGTCAACAGCTACCACAGCATTGCTGAGGCCGATGACAGCATGGTAAATCAAGAGATGCATGGAGACTAAGCTCCTGAAGAGCATCAACAAAGGATGGAGCTCGGATAACATCCTGGCGAAAGGCCGAACCGAACAGAGGCAAGGATGCCAACACCTGCTGAGCCCTGATCAACAGCTGTACACTGGTGACCCAACATCTCTCACCAGATAATGGCTTTGTTCTGTGCCAACAGTTGCACAGCGCATAGGTTGGCCAATCCAACATATAACAACATAATCAGGGAATTTCAACTAAGGGACGGTGTTAGAAATTAACAGTTGTTTGTTCAACACGTTTGTCAACAGTTTGTGCATGTGTGCTTGGCTCCACAGGGCCCTTGAGTCTACACGCAGTTGTGGAGATCAACAGCGTGCGCATACAGGCAAAACAACAGCCTCAGCTGATCGCGCAACGGTCAAGCAACATCTTGAGCTGCCATTCAACTTTACAGGTCGGTTTGTCTGCCCCTGTCTCTGTCTCTGTGTCTGTCTCTGTCTGTCTCTGTCTGTCTCTGTGTGTCTCTGTCTGTCTCTGTGTGTCTCTGTGTGTCTCTGTCTGTCTCTGTGTCTCTGTCTGTCTGTCTCTGTGTCTCTGTCTGTCTGTCTCTGTTTGTCTGTCTCTGTCTGTCTGTCTCTGTTTGTCTGTCTCTATTTGTCTGTCTCTATTTGTCTGTCTCTGTTTGGATGAGCTAGGGTGTGGTCCGTAAAGACACTCTCTCTGTCTGTCTCTGTTTGTCTGTCCCTGTCTGTCTCTGTCTGTCCGTCCGTCCGCCTGTCTATCTGTCCGTCCGTCAATCCGTCTGTCTCTCTGCCTCTCTCTCTGTCTCTCTCTATCTCTGTGTCTCTCTCTCTCTCTCTCTGTCTGTCTCTGTCTATCCATGTGTCCATCTATTTCTAATTATCTTGCGTTCATTCAGCAGCTTCCGCGTGCTCCGCCATGCTCTGCCTCTTGGTTTCTTTCAAAGATCTGCTGGATGCCGCCGCCACCACCTGCTGCTGGCGGCCCTCCAGCCATGGCCTGATGGTGAGATCGCTCGGCGCCAGCCAGCCAACCACAATGTTTGAATAGATTTGAGATCCAGAAATAAGCTAGAAAATTCGTTTTTAAAATGAATTTCTTTTTTTAACAACGATGTTTTTTTATGAAGAACTATGTTTTTTTTAATGATGAAATTTATGATTTGTTTTTTTGCCTGAAAACAGTTTATGTTTGTTTTTATGATTTTCCTTTTTTTTTTAATGTTTTTCGGTTTTTAATGAAATTTTTATTTTTTTTTAAATGTTTTTTAAAATGATTTTAAAATGTTTTTTGAAAATGATGTTTTTTTAATGAAAAAATATGTTTTTTATGAAAAATATGTTTTTTTAATGGAAAACATGATTGTTTTTATGATTTTTTAACAATGTTTTTTGTGTTTTCGGATTTTTTTTGACAAATCTAATTGTTTTTATGATTTTTCAAATGTTTTTTGTCTTTTCATGGTTGTGATGATTAACAAAATCTATAACACAGAAATGTTAACACATGGAGAACATTGAACAAACAGCGACTTTGCATTTATTTATTTTGGCGTTGATTTTAGGATTGGTGTTTTTTTGATCAGTGGTGAGCGAAAAACGAATTGAACAGCAAATTTTGCAGACATCTCAAACTGCACCAACTGCTGCATGATGGCAGGCAGTGAGGTGTCAGTGATGACTTACGAACAAAAAACAGACTATGTGGTGTGTGTGTGTGGGGGGGGGGCAGGGCGATGCCAATGTTGGGGCTAGTTGGTCAACAAACAGTGCCACAATTTTTTCTGGGGCTAGTGGCCAGCAAGTAACTTGCATCCAGTTGCTAGCAGCAAATAACTAGCAGCTAGCAACTAACGACAACCAGTGACTAGCTGCGAGTAGCTTAGCTAGCAAGCAGCAGCAACTAGCAGCTAGCAACTAACAGCTAGCTAGCAGCAGTAAACTTAAGGGAAAAAATATTTTTTTGGTATGACAAAATTTGTTGAGCAACTATCAGGTTTGCTGTAAAGAGGCAGCTGACTACAGCTTTGCTGTAGGATGAAAAACCTGGGAAGGAAACATGTTTAGGCCAAGCAGGGAAAGGCAGTATTGAAACACTTCACTACCTTCACTACCTTTAGGGTTTCAAGATTTCAGGCCAGCAGCAAGGGCCCAAAACCCTAAACCCTAAACTCTAAGGAGCGCCGGGGGCAGGGTGACACCCTGTAGATGGGCTCTTAAGGGGTCATAAAAATTCATTAAAAAAGCATAAAAAATTACAAAAAATCATAAAGCAATCATAAAAAATCATTAAAAAAAACATAAAACTAAATGCACATATATTTTTTATGATCAATTTAAAGATTTGCGTGATGTTTTATGTGTTTTTTTTAAGTTTTTTTTAAAATGATGTTTAAACTGTTTTTTTGATATGTTTAAGGATTTTTTAAATGTTTTTTTGTCTTTTTTTAAATGTTTTTTTAAGGATTGGTTCAGGAAAGCAACGTCCCAGGCTCCAGGCTTGAGGCTCTAGAATCTCCGACCTGAGGCCTTAGGCTCCAGGCTTCAGGCTCTAGAATCTCGGACCTGAGGCCTTGGCCCTTAGGCTGCTTGAGGCTCTAGAATCTCGGATCTGAGGCCTTAGGCTCCAGGCTTGAGGCTCTAGAATCTCGGACCTGACCCCTTAGGCTCCAGGCTTGAGGCTCTAGAATCTCGGATCTGAGGCCTCAGGCTCCAGGCGTGAAGCTCTAGAATCTCGGACTTGAGGCCTTAGGCTCCAGGCTTGAGGCTCTAGAATCTCGGACCTGAGGCCTTAGGCTCCAGGCTTGAGGCTCTAGAATCTCGGGCCTGAAGGGCGTAGGCTCCAGGCTTGAGGCTCTAGAATCTCGGACCTGAGGCCTTAGGCTCCAGGCGTGAGGCTCTAGAAGCTCTAGAATCTCGGATCTGAGGCCTTAAGCTCCAGGCTTGAGGCCCTAGGCTTGAGACCTTGGTGACTTAGCGGGCAGCTGGCAGCAAAGAAGTGAAAACCGAGAAAAGAAACTAGCCTTAGGATAGGTCGCAAAATTTGAACTGATGACGCACCTTGCCCAGCACAAAGCTGGACCCCTGAACAAAACTCTGAACTGTTTTTTTTGGAACATGATGGCGTTTGGCTTCTATGGATTTTACATCAAACAAAATTTCTTGCCGCAGGCCTTTAGGCCTAGAACCATTACTGGCCAAATCCTGGCGTAGCATCCCAATAGCGAAGAACATAATAACACAAGAAATCATTAAAAAAACATAAAAAAATCATAAAAATCATTTAAAAAACATCAAAATCATAAAAATCATTAAAAAAACATCAAAATCATAAAAATCATTAAAAAACATCAAAAATAAACATCATTAAAAACACATCAAAAAATCAAAAAAACATAAAAACACATAAAAATCATAAAAACAAAAGACATAAAACATAAAACATCATAAAAAAAATCATAAAAAATCATTAAAAAATCATAGAACATATCAAAGAACCAAAAAATCATAAAAACATCATAAACAAAATCATAAAAATGATTAAAACATCATTAACAAAAAACCTAAAAATACCATAAAAAGTCATATCCATTTTTCACCATTTTTCAAATCATATCCTAAAATTCATTAAAAAAATCAGAAAAGAAAATAAACAATAAAATATTTTTTTGGCCAATGTTTTGGATCTCAAGAATAGATGCCAGGAAGAGAACGGCTAATTCGTGAAACAAGCCCGTGAACCATGCGACGTGAGACTTCAGATATGGCCTTCACATTTTGTGAACACAGCTGAAGCCCAACATTGCAGCCACACCACAAGAAGCAAGCGCCGGCCTTTAGAAGCGGCTGGAGCCACTGGGAATTACTCTCTGGCAGCCAAACGGCCAAACAAGGGCGGGATGCATTGCAACATAGCAATTTGAGATGCTGTTCGTGTCGAGTGTGCTCACGCGTGTTTATGTGAATGGGCGCTGGCATGCATCCCACCCAACCCTTCTGTCTTCAATTTTCAGAGCGGTTGGGTCAAGAATGGAAAAGAAAGCAACTCCCTTTTGCCATGTGCACATCAACTGCCCCGAGAAGCACCGCAGTTTAACCGCGGCGCTTTTCATGGAAAAGATCACGACCTGTGCCGCTCCTGGATGCATCTCTTACCAGCTTTGTACAAACGATTGCTCTTTGCAATGGGCCAGCATGAAATCATGCCATGTTGGTAAGCCGACTAGAATACGAACATGTAGCTGCCATTGAGCCAGTATTTGTCGATGCAATTCACTCCGTTTCAGCACTTTTGATGCTTTCCCATCCGTTTCTCTTGTCTCTTGGGCAGCTGTGTCATCTGGAGTATGAAGAATTGACCCCTGCGCGAATCTTTTCGTAACTCACGAAGAAGGCAGCGCACCAAACAAGCTTTCCTTAGAGAGGCAATATGTGATTACTTTTCTGTGCCTTCCACAAATGCACGTAACAACAAGGTGCACGCACACGGAAGGCGTCACGCGCACGCACTTGCTCAGACTTGTTTTATCGAATTGTGATGTGGAATGCATCGAACGTGCAAAAGCTCTTGATTATTTCTGATCAGGGTGGAAGAAATCTGAGATTGGAAGCTGAACCTTCTCTTTCGAGTTCCAAATACTTCAAATAATCGTCAAACAAAATCGTAGTTACCACCCCCATCTTCAGAAAAAATCACCACAGTCGTGAGTTGCGCCAACACTCCACCACGTGAAATTCAATTCGACCCAAAAACCTGGAATCAAAGCAGATTGCGAAAACCGAACAGAAAGCAAATTGCGAGACTGGGGTTCTTGGCTTAGCCCCTTGCCACACCACAGTGAAATTTGGAAGATGCAGCTGAAGAAATAAATTGGATCTTGTAAGCTGTGTCCACGACATCCATGCCAAGATCTGCAGGTACAGGTGAATGATCAGCTCACCCTTCCCCCATCATACTATAGCTTCGTTGCGGATCATGGTTGGATCAAAATAACTATCAATTGGAGGCCTCAGAAAATTCAATATTCACGCGGCGAGGCAGGTAGTTGGACAGGATGGCCAAGTGACCAGCTAAGAAGGCCAGGCCGTCGTGGTTCAAAGATGCCGATGACGAAGAGGATGATGCAGCGTTCAGTGCCTCCAAGCATGTCCATCCGGGTTCTAGAGGAGAATGCGATGCAGCAGATGGGAAAGCTGGATAATCTGATAAGGTGCCTGAGATTGGGTAGATCCTGTTAAGGATCTGTGGTCTGTGGTGTGTTTTCGTACCGGTAGTCGTCATAGTCATGGTATGATGGCCACATGCTGTCTGTGGGCCCAGCTATCCACACGTTGCCCTTGACATCTCGAACATGACCTGCAATGCCGTTGAATAAGGTCTCAGGTGTTTTGATCTTCAAGTATCCCGTGCCGTCGACTTCTTCAACAACCAGCTCAGGATCTTTGTTGCCGTACTCGACGATCTTGAAAGTAGCTGTGTGGGCTGCTCGTAGATTGCAACTCAGATGTGGAGCCGTGAAGGTGGAAGCATCATCCGAAGCTGGCATAGGGATGGCAGGGGTCACCGTCGTAGACTTTGACACTGGCTCCATGGGGGTATGCAATTCTTGTTCAGAAGCCATGCGAAGATCCCGAAGCGAAGGAAGATCAGCAAGGAGTGAATCGCGTTTGGTCATGGTGAAAAGGCTAAGCCAAAAATTGCAAAATTGAAATCGGAAAAGCGACAAACCATATCGGTACGGTGAATGCGATAAGCGAGAAGAATGCAAACAAAAACAGGCCATGACTGGAAAATCCAGAAACTCTTTCTTGACAGCGAGTGTAAGGCTCTGTTGAATGACGGCAAGATCTTTCTGATGACGCGTAAAACTCATGATTTAGGGCTGGGTGAAGTCCGTGAAGAGGAAGGAGTTGAAGCCATCATCGTATACGGCACCATTCCGGTCGAAATGCTTGCGCCCCCCCAAGCACCAAGTAGAGAGAATCAAAATCGACAGCGTCGCCCGTCAAATCTGAGTAGCGAAGACAAAGATCTTCAGGATCAAGCTGAAAATCCCAAACCACCGAAATGTGGTCGGAGAGATCATGAAGGATGTTGGAGAACAAGGTGCTTGGTAGTTTCGGTGGTGCCACCAACTTCGAAAAGGTGAACAGCTGTTCACACTGGCTTTCAACCACGGAAGAAGATCTGACCTATTGTCAATCATGGAACTCGATCCAGCTTGGTCTTGGGCCATGCATCGAAGATCATGGTATGTAATCATCAGGAGTACTGGTCGACGACGATTGATGACCGGAATGGATCGATGAGAGGCCATTGAGCCATTTTATAGATCACGTGAGCAACGAAAAGCAAGATCTCGAGATCGAGAGCGATCCATGGCTTGAAAACGAAACCGAAGAAGTCAGGAGCCAAAGCTAATTGAGAAGTGCAAGGAAGACACTGGGTGCAAAAGGAACAAAGACAAGTAAAAACCTCAAAGCAGCAAAAGACAGCAAGGGAAGTTTTCCAGCAGCGAAAGAACCAGCAAGTTACTCCGGAGGAGCAGAGTCATCTGGAATCAGATCTGTGCACGGCAACTCTCAGGTGTGCGACGAAGGCGTTGTCCAATGGTTTTCCAAGATGGACGAGAACGTGAATCCTGCTTGTACCAAACCAGTTGCTGGTCATCCATGTCATTTCAAGCTCGGTTTCCATTCGGAATGGATACTGGAGGTGGGATGCCATCTTCTGGAGGGCCTACCTCCGGTGCTGGGTGCTGATGTGGACACTCGAGGGTCTGGTGCTGTAGAACGATCCGAAGCAATTGGTAGACCATTATTGTCTGAATCAGTTTCTGCTTCAGGTTCAGGTGCCACTGGATTTGGGGTGGTCTCAGGAGCGGGTGGTTGTAGGCAACGACGCTTGGGATTGTTGGGAATGCGTGGAGTGCCACAGTGGATTATAGAGTGTGGTGTATAGTTGTATTGGAAGACCGCGAGCGTACCGGAGGAGCTGTGGGAACTGCCGATGATGCTGGGCGGTTGGCTGGGCCAGTTGTAGAAGAGGATGAAATCGGTCGAGCTGCTGGATGTACTTCTTCATGATCAGGGTTCATAGGGACGGAGTGTGGAATTGGTCGTAAATGAGGCTCACGGTTGATGACCATGTGTGAAGGAAGCCCTCCATGACATGAGTCACTAAAGATGCCGATGAGGCTCTTCGAGACAACGGCACAAAAGTATGTAGATTGTGAGAGCCATTGGTGAAGCCCGGAGATGGCATAGTCATTGAAGGTCCCGATGGCAAAGTTGATGCATCCCAATCCAAATCAGTCTCGAAGAATGGGAGAAATCCCGCAATGTAGTTCAAGTGCATGATCGCTCTGGCTAAGTGGAAATGAATCTGGCGTTGATGAGAGTCCATCACGTAAAGAAACAAATTGAGAGGGAGAGCGAAGAGCAAGTTTGAGCCGAGGAGCCGGAATTAGAAAGAAAGGAAGAAGAAACATGGACATCCAAAGAAGAAAGCAAAAAACAGCGAGCAAGGACAACCTTCAAGTTTTATTGCATTGAAGACAAAATCTGCGAAGAAATGCTGTTGAGTTCTTCAAGGTCAAAGCCTGCCAAATGATAAACTTGAATTAATTGTTGAAGTCCTTGATGGACTCTACACACTGGAAAGGCGCCTTTCACCACAATGTGACACCGAGAGCGAAAGCCACTGAAAAGAATTCGAGGTGGCGAAGCTGAATGGCGACAAAATTTGCGACACATTGGTGGGTCCACAATAGACCAGCTCAAAAGGATTTGTCCCAATCATGAAACACAGGAATTCTTGGCCAGGTTCTGCCATAAAAAAACCGTCATCCAGCAAAGTTTCATACGGAGGTAGGTCTTGGAGTTGAGAGCGGCCCAAAATTAATCTGTTGTCCACATAGCGGAGATGCCGAACAAAAAGGTTATGGTTGGCCAAGATCTCTTTAAAATTGATGGACCTAATTTGTTCGCTGATCGATACCACCATGAGGCAAAGTGCTGGTGACAGAGGGCTGCCCATGGACCTTCCTCGTCGTTGTCGAAAGCTGCGAGGACCAAGAGCACATGACTGCATATTCAGGGCAGTCTTGATGAGGTCAGGAACATCCCGCACCACAATCTTTCTCGTGACATTGAGTCTTCGAAAAGTGCGACCTTTCACGAGATCACCTGGATTGTTCATTTTCCCTGGATAGACTGAGAAGACTTCCTCATCGGTGACATTCATGTGGGGCCGAAGGAAATCCAGAAGCATATATACCAGGAGCCCAAGAACCGCTCAGGTCCGATGCTGATGAAGAATCCTGCCAGGTCCTGGTTGAATATTCAAAGATCGTGTTCCGGGGCATCCTTGAGTAGCTTGAGGAGGGTGAACACATTGCCAACAGCAAAGTGGTTGCAACACCCAACAGGAATCAACTGAAAGATCATCCGCGCCAAGATGGTCAACATGGGACTGAAAGGAGAATCGACAAAGGAGATAATGGGCCTGCCCGCTGTGTACTGCTTTTTCTTTTTGGCCAAGATGTAGCCCGAGGAGAGTTGGCGTTCCGCGCCAAGGGCACATGGATAGCTTTTTCCATAAGTTCGTTCCAGCGAAGAAACCATTTGGTTCACCAGGTCGATGGGAGGGGTTTCAAGGACTCAAAGACCTTGTTGTTGAGGAATGTATTCTCCAGGGACTTGTAGCACAGGTAGGGGCAAAACATTCGCAACGATGATGCCTGTTTGTCCTCACAAAGAAATACCGCACCTTCCAAAGACTTGCTCCGTGCTGCAATGGTGGATTTTGTGATGTGAGTAGATAGGGACTCACAATGTTGAGTCCACAAAATCTGAAGCAAAGGACAGAATGTCTGGTTTGGGAATGGACGGAAGCCCATTGTGTCGGGTCCATTGCTGAAGGGCCCGCATCATCGTGGCAAGAAAGTCCTTCTTGGTGGGAATACCTTGTTCAGCAAAGAGCCTTCTGCAATCACTGCTTGTTCTGGGGGAAGCAGTCCGCCGAGAAGATTGCCTGCCAGGATCCAATGTTCAGCATTTGGGTTCAAGCATGCCTTTTTAAAACCAGCCCAGTTCTTGCAGCAACATACAGGCGTCATTCCGGAGGCCCAATCGGCCACACAGCCTGCTTGTGGCTGCAAAGAATATCCACTACTGATGCATGTTTGACAAATATGACCTTAAACGAAGGGGAGTGGCAGGGAACTTGATGGGATAGAACTTGAAGATGCCATCTTCGAAGAAACTGTCGTAGTTGTTTCACCAAATCAGGACTCAATGCCCAAGGAGCTCGTAGGGCTGAGGCACGAGGTGCACTCTTGCCTTTGCACCATTGAATGGAAGCATCTATTGCCTGAAGGGAAAGTGTTCGGTAAGGCTCCTGAATATTGGAGCTGAGGCGTCGAAGCATATAGCACAGGGTAAGGCCACCTTCATTGGATCGAAGCATCTTCGTGGTTTCGAATGATCTGCCAAAGCTCACATCGAGATTGGAAACGATCAGACGCCAAAATGTCTCGGACCACCTTTGGCGTGAATTTGTGTCTAGCCTTGGTGTTCATGGCTGACCTCCGCAATGAAGAGCACCAAAATCATCGAATGCAACAAGCGAAGATGGGATTGAAGCATTTTGTGCCTGAGCTTCCGGCGAAGTGCCTGAGCTATAGCCAACAAGTCATGATGATAGCCATGGTCAAATCTTGATGAGGATCATGTCATTGAAGTTCTTGTTGAATCTGTTGAGTGGAATGCCCATCATAATGCCCACCTTCTGCACCGTGTCCACCGCAGAGGAAGGTTGATTAGCCCACCAATCTTCAGCCTTCTTGAAGTTTGTATGAAGCACTGCATTTTGAGCGTAGGCTTTGAGCCGGTCGACGAGCCAGCTGTTAACGTGAAGAAGGATGGACAAAAGGCATGCTGGATCGAACTCACGTGGAGCAGCAGGTGCTGCAGAGTTCAAGAGTGCCCTTTAGATAGGGGAAGCTTGACTGGAAGAGCTTGCTTGACCTGGACGAGTTGGGGTGGAAGCATCAGCATCAGGAGCACCAGGAGTGTTCTGCGAGTTGATTGCGGAGTTGGGTGATTTCGTGCTGAGAATCGAGGTCCGTGGTCTTCAAGGGAAGCCATCCTTGAATATGTTCAGCAATCATCTGTGCCCAGTGTGCGGCATACTTGGTGTTCGCTGTCTTGTCCAAATGTTTCCCATCCTGTCAAGCCCGGATCTGTGAGATCCTGTCCAAGTCAATGCCTCTGCTTCTCAACTGCAAAAGAAGCTCCGTGGCAAACACCACTGTAGCAATGTCACCAGTCGGACTGACATAGAGTTCTCTTCCATGAGCAAGTTTCCGGAGCCAAAAGTTGTTGGCCTGCTGGCAACCTTGCCTTATGCGCCCCTTCCTTGTTCTCAACAATCTGCTTGCTCTCCTACACAGCCTTGCACTCCCACTCCTGCATCTTCTCCACCGGTGGTCCGTCCACCACTTCCACGATCCAATGCTCCTGTACTCCGTCAACAACAGCACCAGGCTCTACGTCGGATCTGCGGGATATGGGTTTTGACTTGAATGAGAACTGGCAAGAGGCTCGTGAGCATTATGACAATCAAAAGATCCATAGCCTTACTCTTCCCAAGGTGATCCGGACCTCAGCCTTCACGGCTCGATTGGACATTGAAGGATGCGATCCTCTTGCTCTACCAGTTGCAGACCTGGTGGTGAAGGTAGACATGGATGCGGTGATCTTCAGCTTGATGGAGGTGCCGGAGGCACAGATTCAAATTGCCCCATCATCCCATAAGGTCCGGATTGAGGTGGTGTCCAAAGATTGCTGAGCTGGGGCCGTGACATACTTTGTAAGGCCCTGTGGCAGCTGAGCCCATACCGCTTCGGCAAACCAGGAAGATCTTGTCAGGGTACTGGAACTGATGGTCGGTTTCGGAGCTCGCCATGACGAAGAATTCAAGAACCCTATTGGCTAAACAATACTCACTGCACACGCTACAGAAGATTCAACATGGTTGAAACATTCCCAATCTTTCACACACAAGTTCAAAACACAACATCGCTCCGGTTCCCGAAAGGGAATCAAGCAAAGTGGGGAAGAAACAATTAGTTCGAAGGCGCTCGCCATGAAAGCGCAGGATTTGGAAAACAAAATTCGGCCAAAAAGTTCATTCAGTAATTATGGTGCACCATACGCAACGACGCATTATTATCACCTGGTAAGTACAGATTGGGGCAACAGTGCAGATCAATTTTCCAAGCAAATTCGTCCAGGAAGATCCTAGAAAGGCGGACTCCGTATTTACAGGATGCGGCGCTTCAGCTATCCAGAACTTTCAACCGCTGTAATTAAATTAAGCTCATTGCTCATCATTATAGTCTCGTGTCTCTTCAGGAGGTTGGGAAGCCTCAGGGGGTGTCCTTGGTTGGGAAAACGAACCTTCAAGTAGATCTTCAGGTCGTTGATTCAAATTGTCCCATGTGACAATAACATTGTGGACAGTAGTGTGGGCGCTGAGGGTGATGGTGTACTTCTCAGAAGTGGTGACAACACCTTTTGAAGCGATCTTCAACTGTGCCAGACCATTTCCTCCAGCATCGAGACGAATGTGCTGGTATGCGCCCCGATATATGAGGCCGAAGAGAATGGGAAGTCGACCTTTTCCCTAAGCTCGGTCACGTAGTTCCACCATGATATATTCGGGAATGCAGGAATCAGCCCTTCCAATCTGTGTGCCTGAATGGAAGCCGCGTAGAAGCTTCCAAAAGTGGGGAGTTCACATTTACTGAGGTCCTCACGGTAGCTCCAATCAGCCGGGCGCACCAATCCCTCCAATAGAATGGCCTTTGCCGCTTGAATGCCAGTTCCATGAACCAAGGCCCAGGAGTAAGCTGTTTTCCCTCCAAAAGGAGGCTTTTGCTGGAACAAAGGGATTTCCGGCATAGGGATGACCAAGGCAAACTTCTCCGTTTTTGGAAGAACCAAGCACCGTGCCATAGTAAGATCCACCTTGTCAAGAAGTCCTGCTCCCGCCAAGATCTGTACCATTGTAGTGCAGCAGTCCGTTGGGATGCCCGCAGCTACATTGCGAATGCCCTCTTCAACAGGATCCGGAAGCTGAGTATTCAAGGTTGTGATGACCTGTGGGCGATCCTTCTCTGCCACCTCGCATGGTGCTTTGGTCCCGTGAGGGTGGTGTGGTGTTCACAGGTCGATCGACCAACTCTTCTTCAGCATCCAATTGAATGGTGTCATGTGTAGGTGTCGAACGTGGTGGATTGGGGCTGGATGCCAGTTTTGAGATTGATGATGGGATTTGGATTTGACTCGGAGTGGAAGTCGGATGTGAGAATGCTGTGATTGGCTTTTCAATAGGTGGAGCAGCATGAAGATGGACCCGTTGACGGGAATCATGTCGTCGAGGTTGACGAGAACGGGAACGTTGGCGAAGAGGTCGATGGCTGCGAGGACGATGAGCTGGGGATCTTGAAGAACGACGATGGCGACGAGAGATGGAACGCGTACGTCGTCTGGAGGACGACCTGGTCTGATGTGTCGTGGATCGTGGAGGGCCCCCACGTCTTGACATTGAGCGTTTATGTCAATGGCCCGTGACAAGGAGCGCTTGTCAATCTTCTTGGAAGAGGATAGGACATCACGATGATGACCAAAGCCTGCCTGACTTCTCGGGTGAACGACGTGGCAAAGGAGAACGAGCAGAGGGTGCTGGAATGGCAAGTGATAAGGGTGGATTGGAGCTGGATGATTGAGTTGGAAATTGTTGCGGCGGTGGTGGAGGAGCTGACTTGGCAGTGGCAGGTCTGGGTCTGGGAAATCGACGACTGCTCTTCATAGCCTTATTGATCTCCTGCTTGAGGCTCTCTTGTATACGGGTCACCATCTCTGAAGAGTCAATAGATGTGGCGGTAGTAGGTGGAGGTTTAGGTGGATGTTCAGTATGAGACGATTGTTGAGGTAGTGGCATTGGTGGATTGGGCGGCGCATGTTGGAAGTGTGAAGGAGATGGAGTTGGAAGATGGATGGAGCCGTGGAAGCAGCGTGGTGAGCCAATTGTTGACTCAACAGAGCGTTCTGTTGCTGTAACAAGTTTTTCTGAGCCTGGGACTGCGCTTGGTGCTGGGCATGTTGGACCTGCTGTTGCACACTGGGATCACACCCTTGGAACATACTTCCCATGCCAGGAAGAGATAGCCCAACGCTTGCCAATGGATTCAGCAGTGGTGTAGTGCCAGGATCCATCGTTGGTGCCGAGGAAGTAGTCATGGCCGTGGGTTCCAGGACAAGGGAAACATGGCAGAGAGAATGTGAAAGAGCGAGATCAGGTGAAATTTCAGCAGTTCAACATCTTAGATGCATCCACATGCTCATGCAGCAATCGTGATAACGCTCAAGGCCCTCGGTAGTCACTTCAAACCCTTTGGACAGCTTACGTGTTCAACCCCTGAATTAATGCACAACGGTACCTCACCAACAACCATCAAAAGAAAGAATCCACCATACCTGCAAGCATGCCCTGCAACCTTCAAATGTGATGCAATATCGATCACCGTACTCTCTCGAGCAAAGCTGGAATAAAGGAGGTTTCCAGAAGATTCCACATCTATGCGCTGTGGCCGCACTATCCAAAAAGATTGAAGCCCAAAACAGCGGCCTGCTGTTCAACAAAGAGATGACCGACAGTGAAACATGAAAGGTGGCCAACTGTTTCACTTTACTTAAACGAGTTACCAGGTTGAAAACGACTGTAAATTCAGAGTCAGATCGAGGGTCCCATTTCCTACCTAGAAAGGTATTCCCCGAACGGCTCATGTCATCCTGTCGAACCCGACATGAGTCACACACTTAATTGCTCAGACTTGCCTTATCGAATTGTGATGTGGAATGCATCGAACGTGCAATAGCTCTTTATTATTCCTGATCAGGGTGGAAGAATTTTGAGATTGGAAGCTGGCCCTTCCCTTTCGAGTTCCAAATAATTGTCAAATAAAATCGTCGTGACCACCCCCAAAAAATCACCACAGTCTTGAGTTGCGCCAACACTCCACCACGTGAAATTCAAAAACCGAGACGGAAAGCAAATTGCGAGACTGGGGTTCGTGGCTTAGCCCCTTGCCACACCACAGTGAAATTTGGAAGATGCAGCTGAAGAAATAAATTGGATCTTGCAAGCTATGTTAACGACATCCATGCCAAGATCTGCAGGTACAGGTGAACGATCAGCTCACCCTTCCCCCATCATACTATAGTTTCGTTGCGTCAGGTAGGTATGATGGGCCTGACGCCTCTGCAAATCAAAGCTGTGAAGTACCGTCGACCCTTGAATAAAGAAAAAACACATACAGGTTTTACATCTGTTGAGATGTTTCTCTCTCACACACACACACACGCACAAACATCCAGGTGGTGTGGATCTGCCAAGACTCGAACACAGATTGGCAGGAAACCTTTATAGAGTGCAGGAACGCCCTCTTCCGTGAGGATCTTGCTAAACGCGTGAGCCATTCCTGATGATAGCAGCGGCAAATCTCAGAACATGTACATACGTACGAACTTCTTAGACACATGTTGCGGCAACGCTTTGGAACCGCAGAGTCTCCGGCCTCGGTACTGCTTCACATCTTCCCCTGCAGAGTTCATCAGGCGGGTCTTCACAACATCTGCGGGCGTCGACACACACGCAGAGGTGAAACCTGCTGCTCCCGACGCTGCAACCTGCAATGACTGCAATGAGATATGACGGGATTGAGCGGGTCTGATAGGAATGGCCATCACCTGATGGCGAGACCAAAAAATTATTTGAAGTGCGTTGGTGCATGCGGCACTACTGTCGCGCTCCCAGTAACTAAATGCTGCGAACCACGGTGGAGGGTTATGAAATGATGACATAAGCTCAGAAAAGTCGAGGGGTTGCTTCAATGTTGCCGACAAAACACATGAGCAAAGAAGCCATCACCCAAGACAGGCACTAGACGGCTCTTGGCTTCGTCGTAAGTACCCAGCTCTGCAGCATTCACCAAAAAGGTTCGGGTCACATTAGGCCATAGACCTGGTCGATGGTCATTAGCAGCGAGGAAAACCTTATGACATGATGTGGCGTGATCGGCATCACGAGCTGATCAACACATACCAAATATGCCAAGGACTTGGTGGCATATGAACTGTGTATCATGGCCACAGTCATTACAACTGAAGTTTTGCTGAAAGATGCTGATGCTGCCTTGGCAGGGTGGTGTCTTGAGGTTCCAAGGTCCCCTGCCTGCCCAAAAGCCTCGCACACCATCCTGGGCCCAAACCCGTGCAGAAACTTCGCGCATCGTGACGCTAGCTCCCACGGTTGTCCTTGGCGGAAAAGAGCAAGAGCAACGAAAAACAACACGCAAACGAGGCAAACACGGTGTTTTGCCTTATAGACCGCGTAGACGCAAACTGCATCTTAGATTGTTACAAGAACCCAAGGCCAAAACAATTGACCCGGCAAGAAAATGGAAAGGCAAATTTCGAATCCTGGTGCCTCATCCCTTCGCTGGCAGAAGGCAGATCTTAATTTGAAATTTGACTGGATTGGTGAATTTTCCCTGGAGAGGAGGCAAAATCAAAGCGCAGGGCCTGGTTGATGTTCAAAGTATGTAAGAGCTACATAAGTTACACAAGTGGAATAAGTGGCCGTTTAAGTTTTCCCCGGGTATCGTCTCGCAACTTCGATTTAAAATTTGCTTCGTCAACTCTCGGTGGCCAAGTTGCTGCACTTGCGTCTTCACCACCTGGTACAACTGGTACTTCAAAGAAACATCACTTCATGAAAGCACAATGAAAGCACATACCAAAGGTCGAGCACATATCGGAGGGACCGGAGGTCGACTGCATACCGAAGGTATCCGAATGTATTCATGCCGTTGATGGAAGGTAATCTTTGGATTAAATAGAAATACACCGTGAAGAATAAAGCCACATAAAGCAAGATAAAAAAGAATGTATCCATGTCGTAATTTGTCACCGAAAGAAGTTTAGGAGTCAAACTTCTAACTTATGGACAGATGCAGCAACAGTCCTGGGAAGAGTCCGAGAAGAGAGGGTATGCAGAAAGAAGGTACACGCGAAGCATCGTGTTTTTTTGGCAATGTTTGGCGTTTCCGGAGGGTTGAAAAGTAGGCTTGCTAAATAGCTGCGGGTGCGGAGCCATCTGGCGGGATGAACGTCCAAAGAGTGCACGCGGCTGTGTCGCCAGGCGCATTTCGAAGTCAACGTGTTAAAACACATCAGCATCGGAGTGCTTTTGGAGGTTAAGCTGTTCAAAAAGTGCACGCAGCTGTGGCCCCAATTGCGTTTCAAAGCCAAAAGGTTAAAAGCACCTCATGGCCGGAGCGCATATGGAAGTTGATCTGCTCAAAAGGTGCCAAGCACATTTCGCAGTCAAAATGTTAAAAATACCTCAGCGGTGGAGCGCTCTTGGAAGTTGAGTTGCTCAAAAAGTGCACGCAGCTGAAGCGCCAAGCACATGTCGAAGTCAAAATTTCAAAAGCACCTCAGCGTCGGAGCACTTTTGGACATTTTCATCTTCAACTTGCAATTTTGAACGGCTTCGTTGTTGAGATTTGTTGCGTCTTCAAATTCCACTTTGGTCGGAAGCTCACGATAGACAAGATAGATGGGTAGACAAAATAAATGTGTAGAGAGACGGATAGATAGATAAAAAGAGGCAGATAGAAAGGACAGAGAGATAGACACATAGACAGATAGACACATAGGTGGAAAGGTAGATGGATAGATGGAAACATAGATAGATGGAAAAACAGCTAAAAATCGATCGATCGGTTGATAGGTATATAATAGGTAGATAGAAAGAAAGAAAGATAGATAGATAGATAGGTAGATAGATAGATAGATAGGCAGATAGGCTGACTATATAGTTAGAAAGATAGACAGATGCAAAGATGGACAAATACATGGATAGATCGAGCAGATGAACCGGACAGAGAGACGAACAGCAGCCAGTAGGTCTGCATCTTGTGAGCGCCGCATGCGTTGGAGCAGCCGGTGGGCCCAGTCCGTAGGTCCAGCAGTCTTGCATCCAGCGAGCACTGCATGCACTCCAACAGGCGCGCTCCAACCACCTGTCGATCCGTCAGCGGCTTGCGCTGCCGCCCGTGCAACTCAACAACATAACGCTTCCTACAGGCTTCCTATCTTTGAAACTTCCGCCACCGCCTTGTGCGGTACTGCTGGTTTAATGGGCCTCTGCAGCAGCTGCACCTCTGCCGGGTTGAAAACAGAAATTGCCAGTGCTCCAGCAGTGCCACCAGCACACAGCCGTTGGAGGTAGCTGGGACCTGTCCAAAACATTCCACAACGGGAAAACAATAACCAAAGAAGGGAGAGCTTCTGTTGGAACAATGGAATCTGATGAACAAATTTGAGCCAATTTCAAATGCTGGATCGAACCATGGCGTCTTGGGCTGGCACTCTTGTCTTTGTCCTGCAGCAGCTTGCCATAGAAGCCGCGAATTGGCTCGTAGATCACCAAAGACCTCAGGAGATTTCCTTCAAAGTTTGCTGTGTGAGAGCTCTGTCTGTCAGCAGCCTATCTGGTCATTTCTGGTCACATGTGGTCACCTGTCCTCCACTGTCTTGGCAATCAATTGCTTTTTGTTTCACTCCCTCGGAGTTCCTCCGCAAGACTCCCAGGTTTTATGCATCAAGCGTTGGCCCTGGGATAGATTCTTGCCAGGCAACATGGAAGTGTAGCAAACCTCCAATGGATTCACTGGATTCTTGAGAGAAGGACACTACATGCATTGACGGATCAGATCCCATGCTGCGTCTTTTGACACAATCACCTTGGAAACTCATGATCCTGCAGGTGTACTAATTTTCTCAGAAATGTCTGGCCTGAGGTCTTCCTGAGACTCATCGTGCGGGCAACTTTGGTCAAAAGAGGAAAACGCAACAATTACTTCCGGCTTGTTGGCATTGTATACACTGCGCCTGACGCACAAGCGCTGGTGTCAAGCCTTTCCACAGGGCTTGTACACCTTCTGTGCGCGCAGTTTGCAGCAAGCAATCGGCCAAGCCATTGTACTGGGCAGACCCAGACTGAACCTCAAGGACAGCACGAAATTCCATCAACTCCATAGCCAGTTCAGTCTGAGGCAGAAAGATCTGTCCATCTGGCGGCACTGCGACGCTTCTAGATTCCCTCTAGGTTTTTGTTAGCTGCCACCCGCCGCCCTACCCGATAATATATATGCAAAGCCGGAACATGCATAATTATTATATATATATACACATACACACATACACCTAACTATGAGGTAAATACATCTATATATATATATGTATGTATTTTATTGTTAAGAAAACATTTCAAAAAAACAAAACCAACAATAACAATAATAACAACAACACTAACAATAACAACAATGATAATAAGAAAAATGTGTGTATAAATATATATATACATACGCAAGGCATCGCTAGCGTAGTATTGTTCCCAATGCACCGCACCGCACCCCGCCCCGACCCAGCACGCCTCTAGCGTAGCATTATTCCCAACAAGCATTGCATTGCGTTGCCATGACATGCTGTACTATGCCATACCAAACAATACGCACAAGATATGCATATTACAGACACAGCCCACGCATATTTGTAGATGTATTTCGTGCAAACATTTGTACGTGTATATACATATACAAATGTTATGTATGTATACACATATATGTATGTACATTACATCTTACATAAGTGACACTCATCGAAGGAAGTTTAGAAGTCAAACTTCCGACAATGTGGACAGATGAAAAGCAGAGGTGAGAAGAGTCAGAGAAGAAAGAGAAGGTCAGAGAAGAGAAGAGAAGAGAAGTGAAGAGAAGAGAAGACAAGAGAAGACAAGACAAGAGAAGAGAAGAGACGAGACGAGACGAGAAGAGAAGAGAAGAGACGAGAAGAGAAGAGAAGAGAAGAGAAGAAGAGAGAAGATCAGCGAAGAGAAGGAGTCAGAAGAAAGAAGATCCAGGTGTGCGAAAAGGTGGGAAAGTCGTGAAACACTGTGTTTTCCAATGACTTGTGGCTCCGTAGCCGTAGGTCGAAAAGTAGGCTTGCTAAAGCGGCAGGTGCGGAGCCATCTGGCCAGATGAGAGATGAAAAGTTGCACGCCGTGGTGGCGCGAAGCACATTTCCAAGTCAAAATGTACCAGGCACACCATTCTCGGACCACTCTTGTAAGTTGTGGAAAAAGTGGACGCCGTTGTGGCGCGAAGCACATTTCCAAGCCAAAATGTACCAGGCACACCATTCTCGGACCACTCTTGGAAGTTGAGATGTGGAAAAAGTGGACGCCGTTGTGGCGCGAAGCACATTTCAAAGTCAAACGTGTAAAAAGCGGACGGGTTCTCTCCACCATGAGCACCATCATCACTATCACCAACATCATCCGCATCATCATCGTCACCACCATCGTTATCATCATCATCACCATCATCATCGTCATCATCATCATCACCATCACCATCACCGTCATCATCAAGATCGCCACCACAATAATCATGAACATCATCATCGTCCTCATCAACAACATTATAATACATTATCCTCCTACTCCCCCAGGACTCTTCGGGGTCTCTTGCCGGGATAACTTTAAAATTCTATATGCACTGAAGTCTCCACAGACTGTGCTGCACAATATCATCATGTATAATCAATACTGCTGTAACACTGTACAGACTTTTCAGCCATTCTGAGAGTTGCGCCTGCAGCCGAACTTTCACCACATCTGTGGGTAGCGTTACCTCCGTTGGGGACAAGCTTGTTTGCAATCCGCAACACTCAACAGGTTGACGACTAAACTTCTGCTGGTAAAGAGCAAAAACTGGGAAGCAGCGTGTTGTTCCCAAACTTCCTGCTCTCCAGGCTACGATCTCCGCAATGGCCGCACCCAAAGCAGACCCAACAAATCTTGCTCCAGTGTCCGACATTGCAACTGAAGCGGGAACAAAAGCAAAGGACACGTCGCTACATATGTATACACTGCAAAATACAGCATGAGCAAATGTATGTACATGTTTAACATGAAGATGAACGTATAGTTACAAGATAAAGGATATACGTACAAGTAGTGCCCAGCCCGCGCCGGGGCGGAAGTGGAAGAAGATGGCCTATAGGACAGCTTTTAAGATGCAGAAGCCACGAAATGTTGAAGTTGTGAGGTGCACCAAAGACTGAGCAGATGGTTGTTGAGGTGCCAATGACAGGACATGAAAGAATCCATGCATAACTGACCGAATGAACCCATGAATCAGTGAATCATTGAGCAATAAACCGATGAATCGATCAAGGAACGAAGCAATGCATTAGAATCAATGAATCAGACGTGGAACCAATCAATCAATGACCCGAGGAATCGTTGAAACAATGGGTCAATGAATCAACAAATCAGAAAATCAGCCGATCAGTGAACCAATGAATCACCCAATGAATCAATGAATCAGTGAATCAACCAAGCAATGAACCAATGAACCAACCAACCAATGAATCAGTGAATCAACGAATCAAGGAATCAATGAATCAAACAATCAAAGAATGAATGAATCAGTGGATCAACGACACAACGAATCAATGAATCAGTGGATCAACGGATCAGTGAAACAACAAATCAACGAACCAATGAATCAATCAGCCAATCAATCAATGAATCAGTGATTCAATGAATCATTGAACCAGCCAATGAATGAATCAGCGAATGAAGGAACGAAGGAATGAAGGAATGAAGGAATCAAGCAATCAAGGAATGAAGGAATGAAGGAATGAAGGAATGAAGGAACGAAGGAACGAAGGAACGAAGGAATGAAGGAATGAAGGAAGGAATGAAGGAATGAAGGAATGAAGGAATGAAGGAATGAAGGAAGGAAGGAAGGAAGGAATGAATGAACGACCTGAAGGATGGGTGGATGGATGGATGGATGGGTGGATAAGTGAGTTACCTTTCTTTGTGAGCGACCTCTTTACTGAGCGATCTCTTTGCTGAGGCACCTCTTCTCTCAGCCACTTCTTCACTGAGCAGCCACTTATCTGGGCTACTTCTGCTCTGACCTGCCTCCCAGCTAGCTCTTCTGTAGCTTCTGCAACCCAATTCTTCTCTTCGCGCAGCTGCTACAATGCGTTTAGCAACCTCCAGCTGCAATCCCGCTTGCCAGCAGCATCGCAACATCACTGATGATGCTTTCCTGCGTGCAGCCGTGCCAATGGGTTTTGTCACAGCCGGTTGCAAACCCGCATAGCAGGAGTGTCGCAGTGAATCGACTAACGTTTGCGCAGCGCTGACAATGGAAAATCGACAACGCAAATCCGGCGCTGCTTCGAACATGCCTTTTTTCGATCTTTATGTGAAATCGAGCTCTCGCCACAGTCTGGTGCACATTTTGCCGACCTCATCTTCCAAAAGTGCTCCGTTTCAAGTGCAAATCGAGCTCTCACGACAGTCCTGTTCACATTTGGCCGACCTCCTCTTCTAAAAGTGCTCCGAAGCCGTCAGTTTAACATTTTGAAGTGCAAACCGAGCTCTCGCCACAGTCCCGTGCACTTTTTGTCGGCAGCTTTCCAAGATCGACGCGCCGAACCGCGGAAACAAAGACTCTCCTTCGACTACCGCGGAAGCCACTACCCGAAAAAAAAACCAGGGTTTCTGGCCTGAGAGTGTTTCATCAGTGAATTCACAAGTTTCCGAACTGTTACACTTCCCAACTAATAATTGATGATGGGTGGTTGACATGATGACGTGGTTGACATGATGCTGGACATGCTGGCCGTGACAACCGTCCATGACTCGGAAGTTTTCTAACTAAACTTACGCATGAACAATGCACATAAACAAATACCTGGACCTGTGGACTACATTGAACGCAACATGATGCACACGAACAAGTGCTCATCCACCCTTAATCTTTCATTATTCGCTCTGTCTTCATTGGTTTGCAACATCACCCTGCGAACTTGTACCATGTCTTCTTGCACTCATTTTGGTGATCCAAAATGGCAAAGCAAGGCATCGTCTATATCCAGATGTGCATCTAACCTTTTGAGGTTCAATGAGTGAAAGTTCTGTTTCTATTTTCGAAGGAAGCTGAAACTGAATCTGAATGGCGCATACGTTTGTACATGTTCCAACCGCCTAATCCATCAGCATCTTTTAGAGTTTCCTTGAGACGCAGGTCAAACATATTGAAGGAAATGCCTTGTTGAAATCAACAATGAGTTCTTGCTCCGAGCTGTACCCTCCAATTGGTCAGCGTGGTACAAACCAAGTACAAATACTTTCACTTATTTGTTGACGGTTCCTGTGGGGCATAATGTATGATGATGTATAGTCAATCTAGCGTGTTTTGGAGAACGGAACGAACAATGCCACACTAGACTACAGTAGAGACTGATCCTGATGAAAGCGCAATCCCCTCATTCAGAAGTTTGAATTCGCGAGACTCCTAGTAGCTTATTTACCAAGTTTGAAGAGGCAAACCGGGCCGCAATCTCAAAGGTCTTTTTTGCGCCTCACTCTGGCAAATCATGCAAATCTCTTCGCATGGATGAAGTTGTGGTGCACTTGCGGATCGATACGACAGAACAAAGCCGCAATCCAAATCAGTCTAGCATAGTGCAAAATGTTCAATGCTTCCAGCTATTATGCAACCACTTCTAAAAAAAGAAGTGGGACCGAGAAAAGCCCATCACCAGTCCCAACCTATTCCTCATAGTGCTGGCTTTGCAGGAGGGAGTAGATAGACTCCAGTGGCTGCCAAGAGGAAATTGAAATGTTTGAGGCTGGCAGGGGGTGCAGGGTCATGTAGCATTCCCCTTGAGGAAAAGTCAATACTTGCTACGCAACGAGCTATGCAGTGAGAGGGCTACGCGCGACGCTAAAAGTCATCCACATATTGTGTCCCCACAGATATGGTTCCGGAACAAAAGTACACCACAGCTTGTTGCTCGCTTGCTGCCTAGTATTTGGCCAGTATTTGCTTAGCATGTCATGAGCAACGAACATGTTGACGAGGACATGGGACGATAAAGAATGGCTAACACGAGAATGGGACGAACATGTTTCACCTGTCACACGGGGATGGATCAAAACCCACCCCTGGTGAACACCAAAATGATTGGTAGATGGATGTTCATCCCCAAAAAAGGTATTAGGTCTTGATCCATACCCACATTATTTTGGTTCTTCTTTAAAGCAATCACATTGATTTGCACAGGAAGTTCGATCCGCACCAAGAGAAAATAAGATAAAGAAAGCTGACTTCGGTATTGTCTTGAATCCGTCAAGAATGTCGTGCGCCGCAGGTGAGGAAATGATAGCACTAAGCAACATGTCAACAACAGCGGATTCCAGCCTAACACGAGAGTCAGAATCACCAAGAAAAGATTTTCGGACAGAATGGCTGTATCATATTGTATCGGCTTGCAATGATTTAATCTCTCTTGAGTCTGTGTGGATTGATCAAAATTTACTTCAAATGCCACGGCGAATTGTTTGGTAATGCTTGATATGTAGATACGCGTATATAATTGTATATGCAAGTTGGTAGTGCAAATCAGATGACGTCAATCAATTTCTTTCTTGCTGCTGTGCTTTCTCCACTTCCTTCTATCGTGGGCTTCATGTATTTATCCTTCTAGCTAGCATCTGCTCAAATATGCCGTATCGTTCCAACAAAGCGCACACCGGCGAAAAATGAGAGAAGTGTCAGATGATGTCGGATGTCAAGCTGTAACAGTTCGGTGAGATTGATTTCAGCATCACTCGGCTATAGCGTGGCCTGTAAACACCATATGGTACAAGTACTGTAAACAACGCTCAGAAGCGTGCTACACTACAAAATGCACAAAGAACACACAGGTATATAAAACCTGGATTCCAAAGCAATGCGTTTAGCAAACTGTGAAATTGAAACATATTCGATGTGCTGTAGTACGCGCTATCACTGGAGGGGATCTTTGGAAAAAGAACTAGGCCATAATCTGCGGCATGCTAAATGCAGAGGTCATAGTCTCTGAGCGTGATTTCTCGCCCAACCCCTATACAAACAGAACTTCCCATTGAGCTTTCAGAGCAGAGAAACTAAATTCAATACAGGGAAATAAACAATCACTAAAACAATCAGTGAAATAAATGTCTCATCAATTCCGGCCCTTCCGACGCATCAGTACACATCTCATGCTCGTCGCGTCATGCTCAGCATCTGTCGTTTAAGACACATGCAACCCCGAGCATGAAAGGAGACTCGCAGACTTCAAATGACGTGTTAAGTCCTAATTGGCGCTCTCAGGAAGGCAGCTTAAGGCTTGTCATGACTTGTTGAACTTGTTGACAGGGGTCTGGGATGGTCTAGGATGGTCTAGGATGGTCTAGGGTCGCAGGATTCTTCACTAAAGCCGTTTGGGGCTGCTCCCCAAGTCTGTGGGCAGCCAGGCTGCAACTACATGCACGATGTCAATCCTCTAGCTGTCAATCCTTGCAGTCCTTCAAGCTTTTGAAGATCTTTGAAGTGTTTGAAGCTACTGGGATCTACCTCGGGACACATGAACCTGAAAGGTTGTGATGGGCCTGGAGTGGAAAGGACAGCCCCCTCCCCGTCGTTCAGCGCAAATACAAAATTACTAAAGTTGCTGCTACGGTTGTTGAATGTCGTTATACGGATTCACACGAAGCTGCATAGGAATGTAACCTGTTGTTCCAAGGACCTGGGATTCTAAGGACTCTGAGGTCACTTTTCCAGCTGCTCGCGTACCAAGGGCGGCAGCTGTGACAACTTCATTATTATGATGTTGCCTAGAGGATTTCCATTGCTGCGGTGTCCGAATGAAGGCCGCCGCAAATAATCTACAAGACACGGGCATATGCAAAATAAATCAGCTGCCATTTACGCCACCAAAGCAGCAAAGCGTGCTACGAAAGATCAACACGAAATCAGCCATTTTGTCTGTAACTCTTTCAGGAGC